AAAAAAAAAAAAAAAAAAAAAAACCCTAAATGAATTATACTTTTTCACAGAAGAATGTTTATTGGGAATTGCTAAAAAAAGGTTTTTATAAATTTCATTGTTGAATACATATATGTAAATTTAGATTTTCACTCAATATTTTTCAAATTGAATTGTTCTAATTTGTGTTAATTTTTCCAAGAAACCAAGGATTTTCTTGCTGGAAAGTAAACTGTAACAGATGAGTAGTTAAGAGTTAATAAAAAAGCTATCTATGTTTTTTTGTTATTTCACTGTTATTAGGTACATACCTACATAAATGTGTGTTTTACAAAATTAATCTCTGTGCATGATTTTAGGTTTTATAAATCATGTATTTTCTCTACAATTGTGGATTCACATTGTGAAGATTTAAGAGCTGATGCTGTTGATTTAGCTCTCACTAGCTGTGATTCACCAACAAGAATGCCTCTTGTATCAAATGAGGTGAGATGTATAGAAGTTTAGAAAAATAACATAGTTTTGGAAGTAAAGAGAAAAAAGTATATTTGGGGAAAATGCATGACATCCAATGTAATTTACCAATTTAATTTAATTTTAATGTTGGTTCTAAAAGTTTTTACTGGGATTAAATTTATAATTCAAAGTATATATCTGGTAGGAGAGATGTTTAATTCTTCATATATTTTATTTACAAGCTTTTGTAAAATTCAATATTTTGTCCTGTTATCAAACTGGCAAACTTGTGAATATTAAAGGTCAAAATTATATTGGTGAAAATTCAATAGGGAAGTCGCATTTATAATATTATAAATCGGAGAAGTCTCATGAGTTTATCTTAATGTTTGTGCACCTCGATACTGTTTACATTCTTAGTCAACTTTTTGAACTTTTGAATTGCATAGACAAAAGTAATGTACGTATGTATTCACATTTTTGGGTTTTGGGACAGAGTTTCTTGGCCCTTATGATGACTTGCCTTTCTGTGGCCTGACTCTTTTCCTTTACTTTAATCCATTAATCTTGGTGTTGGTTCAGGAGCCTTTCCCCTTGACTATCAGAGGCAGCTTTTAGGCCCAATTTCATTTTTATTTTTTTGTTTGAGGAAGTTGCCAGGGCACCTTATTGGCTCTGCTAGCCAAGTATGAGTGAGGGTATCTGTTTTGTACTGAAGGAAAAAGATTAATGGGAGAGACATGGTCTTTGGGATTGGACAACCATGCCACAACACACGAGATCAGAGAATGACTTTGCCTAGATGGAATGTTCACTTGCCTCCTGTGCAAGCCTCGACATCCCCAAGACGGTCAGATCTGGTGGATATGGGTTATGCATGATGAATGGGAAAGTTCAACATGCCACAAAACACTGGTAAAAGCCATGACTGATTGGAATTCAAATCTCTGTCCGTCACCTTGGCATTACCACTGTACCCTTACCTTAGTGATCTCAGCCATCTGGCTTGGCTAGACAAAATTAAAGATTGGAAATTTCCACTATGTCAATTGAAAATGTTTTTGAGACACACTGCATTTCCTCTAGAATCAGTTAGTTGAAAAAAAATTCAGATCATTCTAAGAGCCTTAGTGTCTACATTTGAAAATACTTCTGTCGAGAAACACTGGTATTTCAGGTCACCTTCAAGGGTAGATATTGATGATGCCACATCTGTTGAGAGAACTGAATAAAAAAAAGGTTTTATTTGCAGCTTGGAAAACTGCTGGAAGAAGCCCTTGCATTGGATTTTGCTAAAGTGACTGTTCCAATTGGTGAGCCTGACTGCCTTCATCATCATTGGGGAGTGCAGATGAATTTGCAAGCTGATCCTTGTCCTTGCTGTACATTACCTCTGGGTTCTCCAGGCCTTCTACAAGACACAGGGCTAATGGTCTTCCAATGTGGGCATGCTTTTCATGCAGTATGTCTGTGCAAGAGGTCTGTTCAGACAGTTCAGTGTCTGATATGCAATCAAGGAACTTAGAGGCATTAAAGGTTAGTATTTGTAGCACCTTTTTTTAAAATTTATTTTCCAAAACAAAATCATTCTTATTTAGAGAGGAATTGGAAACAACATCTAGAGATGAACCCAAAAGTGGTGACAGTTAGTGCTGGAACTATCAAGACAGAGAAATTTGCTGGAGGTATGCAGAGGTACCAAAATATCAACTCCCCCAAAACTATACTGAAGTTTATTAACACGATATTAAATTAAAAAGTTAAAATGCTCTAGCCTTAATTTTTTTGGTGGAATCAAGTTTATTGCTGATGAAATTGAATGGAAGGAAATGACAAGTTGTAAAATTATACATACAGTTCCTGGCCAAATTATTAGACGCACTCCAAATTTTTAACAAAATGTTAAAGTTTTGAAGTCTCTCCCTGCAGTACATAACATCTGGCATTGTTGCGAATCAATAAAAACAAAGCTTCTTTTTCTAATAATTAACACATTATTTGTCATGTTCCATTGTTGTGACACCTCATTGTTGCTTAGACGCACAAATTACAAGAGTTGAGTAGAACAAGCAGTGTCATGAGTAGTGTGTTGTTGCATGAAGATGGTTTATTTTCCATTTATTAGTTTGTGAATTAGGTATAGCCGTGTTTATTTAAAAATTGTGAATTGTTGTATACCAAAAACTGATAGTTTTGAATAAAAATAATGGGAAAGGCAAGTGATTTGTCTCATCGGAAGATCGTAGCAGTGAAAGCCTTTGTCAACTCAGAAAATTATTCAAATCGTGAGTTATCTCGAAGTTTGAACGTATCCCAGACATCTAT